TGAACGAATGAAGAACGAACGAATGAATAATAAATAACTAAATAGAGAAAGTGAACGAACGAATGAATGAAAAATCGAATGAACACACAAAACTTGAAGGGTTTTCTTACGTAATCAATCATGTAATCGTAATGTGATGTTGTTGCAATGTTACTTTTTTTATGCTGTTATTATTGTCATAAGTTTGTGTGTGTGTGTATGTGCGTGCGTGTGTGCGTGTGTATGTGTGTGTGTGCGTGTGTATGTGTATGTGTAAAAAAATTTACATACAATACTCACCTGCAACCACATAGCCGTATTTTTCATTGCAAATAACTGGTGTCGTCGTCATGATAATGATGATGAAGATGTTGATGATGATGTTGATGGTGGTGTTGGTGATGATGCTTTTGTTGCTGCTGCATGCTTGTTTGGGATGTTGATGACATTTCATTTTTGGGTTTTGTTGCTTTATGTTTTAGTTTTTGGTTGTTGTTTTATAATATGATGTTTGTTTGTTTGTTTGTTTGTGTTCGTTTGTTTGTTTGTTCGTTCGTTTGTTTGTGTGTGTTTGTTCGTTCGTTTGTTGAGGTTGGTTAAAAAGTGGTTGATGAGTGTAAGAAGTTATAAAATATCTATGATGAGCTGGCTTGCTTGCCAAAAATATTTTTGTGTTGTTAACAACAAAGGTTTTTGTGGTTGTTGTTGTTGTTGTGGTTTATCGTGTTGTTGATGTTGAGGTCTTTGTTATTGTAGTTGTGTTGTTGTTAATGTTTTCATTACGTAGTCTTTGATGTTCTTTGATACTTTACTCTCTTAATGTCAGGTAACTCTGCCTTGTTAAAACTTAAATTATAATACTGATAGTATTGTTTTTACGAGGATTTTTCGTTGTTGTTGTTGTTGCTAATGTTGTTGCTGTTGATGTTGTAGTTTTGTTGTTGTTGCTAATGTTGTTGTTGCTAATGTAGTTGTAGTTGTTGTTATTATTTTTCAATTTAGTTAACTTCTTCAAAACGTTTAAAAACACTTATATACAATAATACATATAGTAACTTTACGTACATACATCATATAATTAATAACTTTTCTATCTGTAAATTAATTAATTAATTAATTCATTCATTCATTCATTCATTCATTCATTCATATAAAGACTTCATCGCAAAAACTTTAAAATTCAAATAGATAAATTTATAAATAAAATAAATCTTAAATTAACCGACAAAATTTAAAATAACTAAATAACAAAATTCATTGCAAACAAAATTAACGATTCGATAAATGATAGTATCACAAATTCACTTCAGTCACAAATTATCGTTAGATTAAATACACTGAAACACTGATGTTAAAAATATTTCTCTCTCTCTCTCTCTCTCTCTCTCTCTCTCTCTCTCTACCTATCTATCTCTATCTTTTTCTCTCTATGTATGTAGAATTTTATAATGAAAGCTGGCGTGAATGCTATACACAGATCAAACGGGCGTTTGATCATAACCAAGTATCTGTTTAATTATTATTAGTATATGTCTTTATTCATTCTCTGTCAGTCTCTCTCTTTCTCTCTCTCCCTCTCTCTTTCTCTTTCTTTCTCTCTCTCTCTCTCTCTATATATATATATATATATATATATATATATATATATCGTGATAAAATAATGAAATAGAAATTATGTGCATGTTATAAAAGACATTCATTCATTCATTAATTCGTTCGTTCATTTATTCATTTATTCATTCATTCGTTCATTCATGATATAACGGCCGCATAGGGTGCTAGTTCATTCATTCATTCATCTTGTTCTTTTTACATTCATTCGTTACAATTTTTCATTAATCCGTACACCAATCGATCTCTCTCTCTCCCTCTTTCTTTTCCTCTCTCACTCACTCTTTCACTGTTCGTGTGCGTGTATATGTGTTTGCAAGTGTGTGTTTGTACGTGTGTGTGCTTGTACGTTTGTTTGTGTTTGTACGTGTGTGTGTTTGTGTAGTGTGTATTGTTAAATTTTGATTTGTTTACACATTCAACAATTTTAATTAGCGCTGTCGAAACAAATGAGAAACAAACCTCCTCTTAATACTACTAAACTGCCTGCATTACTGTCTTCACCACAGTTACTTGTTCTCATTTACTGACAGTTAGGAGAATGAATTGGTGAATGAATTAGTGAATGAATGAATAGATGAATGAATGAATGAGTGGATGAATGAGTGAATGAATGAATGAATGAATGAACGGCCTATGATGAATCGATAAAAACAGGTGAACATATAAGACTTTCATGCCGTTATCATACTCGAGTATAAGAAACGTACATGAATATTATGAATGTTCTATTTTTGCTCGTCATGCATACATGTTCATCATCATCGTGTTCGTGATGATAGTAACGATGTTGGTCATCAGATAATGATTATGAGAAGGATGTTGGTGATGTAGATGATGACAACGTGATGATGGTGACGGTGACGATGATCAATTACTCGACTGTTTTCATATGATTCAAATTTGTGAACTGAGTAAAGCATCATTAACTGATTGTTTGCTGTTTATTTTACAAGGCTGTCGATGACAAATGATAGAATATCTTCAGGCTAATGATTAACAAAATGATAGAGTATCAACAGGCAAATGTTAAGTTCAGCTGCTATATAGTTCAATTCTTGGGTTAAAATTTCATGATCTATTAGAAATGCAAGAATCAGTATTCTACAAACTTATGCCAACAAATCTGTCAGCTAATTAACGTTGTTACTGGCTTTTAATCAATTGTTAATAAGTCATTACATAAAACCAGCAACTTGTTGGTCTACTCGTAGTTCTACAACAGCAATTTCAAAGTTTATGAACTTATTAACGCAACTACATAACTGAATAAACACCGGATTACTTATGAATTATACGCTCGGCTGAATATTTTGAAACGAATGTGAGATCAACATGACAAAAATGAAAAAACTTTATTTTATTTTTATTTTCTATATAAAATAAACTCAAAAATAGAATGTCTCAAATAATAAAACATTAAATTTTATAAAATTTAATAAAATTGTTAAAATATTAAAATAATCTGACAGATGGATCAAAACGTATCAAATAAAATATTTGAAGCATGTATGTATGGTTCTTCAAATAAGTTAAAACGCTTGAAAATATTCACCGATAATAAATAAACGAATAAATAAATCTAAATTCATCACCCAACAAACATGCAAGCAGTAAAAGGACAAAATGCATGTAAAAATATAAGGCAGTCCCTGCAATTAAAACTGCTAACCAGCTTGAAAGAGCATTCAACAGAGTTCATTATGCACATAATTAAAGATGAATTTACCTATAAAAATGATTAAATCACCTGAAAAGTTAGCTAAATTCGATCATAGTTTTTTTTTAATAATGATAACAAACTTTAATAACAACAACGGAGTGAGTACTATGCAAATATGCGTTATCCTTAGTTAACTGCACAGTGAAATAAAATAAATACACGTACACATGCAAACATGTATACACAATACGCATAATACACACATACATACATGTGTTCACATACATGTGTGTGTGCGTGCGTGTGTCAACCAAATACATACTTTGTTAATGTAAAAGTTGAGGTATATAAAGCTATGTAATAGTTTCACATTTTGAACATCAAGAGATGGACTATTGTACACAAAAACATTGCACACATTGTTTGTACGTGCACATGAAGATGTTGTGTGTAGAAGAAGCAGGGGTTGTTATGGCCATATTGAGGTAGGTAAGTTATATGCAGACGTGATGACGTAGAGAAGCGGCCCACACAAACAACAACAGCAGCGTTAGAAGGATTGATCAAAAGTAAATGGAGAAGTTGTGGTGGTGGCGGTTGTCGTTACTGCAGAAGGGGAAGGGGTTCCGCAGCTGTGGTCAAAAATGACGCCACGAAAAAGTAAAAACTGAGGAGGAGGAGGTGGTGGTGGTAGAGGAGAAAATCTGAGAAGAGGTGAGGAAAAATTAGAAAATGACCTCACGAAGTTTGTCGGGGGGACGAATTGAATGAGTGGTGGTGTCGCAACAGGCGTTGACATCATGGCTACTGGTGAAGCAGAGGATAGCACGATGCTTGCCGCCGCTTCTGCATATGATCTGTGGTTGTTGAATGTGTAGTCCTCATTGCATATGTTTGAAAAAGGGCTGTTTGTAAGTATCTGTTTGATAGTTTTCAATCTTAACGTTGGTCGTCTGGCTGCAGCGAAAAGTTGTCGAGGAGGAGTTGGCGCTTGCTGCGGGGTGGCTGGTTTTGTTGACTGGCAGTTACACGTTGGCGATTGGTTGGAAGCCGCTGATTGGTTGCCAAGTATGAAGGAAAAAACCCTAGGATATGATGACTGGCCAGTGCCCATGTTGTTCAGTGAGGTTGTTTCAAAGCTATCCTCCAACAATTTCTCACGACTTTCATTGCCGCTCTCAAACGAGAGAGTTTCATAATAAGCTGTAGGAGTGACGGTAGAAGTAGCAGTAGTGGCGTCTGTTGTGAATGAACTGTAGATGTTATCAATCACCATGGAAGAGGTATCGTCTAACATAGAGCCACTGCTGGCAGTTCTGTAGAAAGTCGAATCGCCAGCTGGTGGTGAATCATACAGCAGCTGCAGTTTGGAATCGTTAAGTGGAATGAGGCTTTCACAGTCACTGTCTGAGATCGACAGATTCTGGTAACTGGAGCTGGGTCGGATCGTTGCTGATGTCGTTGCTGCTGCTGCTGAGAGTCTTCTAGCCCTGCCGCTGCTGCTTTCGGGGGTGGCAGGACTGTCCTCGTAAGAAGAGGATTGATCAGAAGGTTGAGATTTCACTTTGAAAAGGTGACCTGAGTAGATGACGTCGTCGATCGCATCATTGAAGTACAACTGTTTGACATTTTTTTTTTAGAAATTTAACGTAAAAAATAAAAAAAGTACAAAACATAAAAAAACAAATGTTGAATGAGTGAGAATACTTGCCTCTCTTAGCTTGAAGAAGACGCTGCCAGTAAGCAGGGAATCGCTGCCGGCCTGATGTTGGGGTCCCGTCCTTCTTAACTTGCGTCGTTCAACAAAATTATAAACTACCATCACACATTTCATTCCATGCAGTTATTCTTAAAGTTTATTATGCTTGGTCAATAAATATATATCACCGAATAGACAGTTCGACCCTGCTGCATGCGAGCAATACTAGAAGCGAGCACAGGTTTGCTAAGCTATTTCTTTAAATCTTTCTATCTGCCACCAAACATGACGCTTGTTTCAAATTATTTCATATCAAAATAAATCAAACTTTGGGGTTTTCTTTGCCTTTTCTCCATTACTTCAGGCTCCCTCAAAAATACTCAATCCCCAATATTTTCTTTACAGTTTGTTGCTAAGCTTCCTCTCATATAACTTGGAACATTCTTAAGAACATAATTTTCCACCAACCATTCCAAGTCCTCTGAATTCCATCTGCATCAGTCCCGTCTTACATCCAGTTTTCAAGCGCTTACCAGTGAAGAGTCATCGTAGAAATCCTTACAATTGTTGCATGCCAATCACAGCTTCACCTCACCTTTCTTACTTTTATTCGTTTCAGCAGCCGAGCAAAGCGAATACAAAAAATAAAATAAAACAAGAGAAGATGATGATAAAATGGCAAAACGAACGTTTAATTGACAGGCCACACTATTCAGACTGGTGTTTTCGACTTCGGGACAGCTGAGTAGGAGGAACTTGATGTCATACATGGTCGGGAAGTATAACTTGAGAGTCTCAAAGAATTCATCCTCACTGTCTGGCAGAGGTTGGCACGTCAGTAGCTTCAGTGAATACCCAAAGTCGTAACCACTACAAATTTGACAACATTGCAACTTCCTCAACCTCAGTCGAAATGTGCATGCATTCCATGAAAGTAATAAAAAAAGGGCAGTTATAATGCAAAGAAAGTGGCAAATATTATTTTATTATTATTAAATTTCTCGTATTACCAAACGTTTAATGATTGGATTAATGTATACAAATTGTGCATTCGTAAAAAAATACACTACATACAGATGGATGGTAGATTGTAAAGCAGTATTTTTCTACACTGCAATTGCAGATCTGACATTTCACCATCAGAAATTCAATAAAAATTATCAAAAAATATAAAATAGATTGAATAAAAAATAAAAACGGTGGAGGACCTATCAAATGAAATCCACCTGACGTCATCGCAGAGCACCACCCCCGAGTTCATGAGAAGTTCAGCAAACTCGGCCCCTTTTATGCCCTCCGTCTTTAACCTCTCAAACTGGATGCCATTTTTTTTCAACAACTCAATGGAGTTTTCAGCAAACCTGTTGACACTGAAATTGTTTCAAAATTAATTTGTCAGGAATAAATGGGATGGAAAAGTTTTAGCATGGATTGAAATTTTTTTTTTTTAAATTCCATGCGAGATATGAATTGTTTGACTAGGCTATTTAACTGTTACAGAGCCTAGTTACTGACATAGATATAAACATCATAGCAGCATTTATAAGATAGCAGTGAAGAGTAAACTATAATAGCATTAATCGCAACATAAGAAAACATTAATTAAAAAAAAAACATTAAAATAAACAAAGCTCACTTCTATGGCTAACATATCAACAAACATTTTTTTTAAATTTTATATTTTCCTCAAAATATCCTAACATCAACCTTAGATCAAACTGGAAATTGAACTGCCAGGCACTGATGGGGTTAGATGAGTTGCCATTCTCGTCAAAAAAGGCCAGACCAAGTTGTATGATGTTCAACACGTTAACATTTTCCACTATTTCTGAAAACTTGAAATAGCCAGGGCGCCAATAATCTATAGCATTTGGCAGCACCACACCTGGAAACTCTGTATCCTGGTGAATGAATTAGAATTTAATTAATTAATTTAAATTTTGGAAAGTAAATTGGATTTAATTTTTTAGAATCTAAAGCGCATTTCAGAGCAATATTAATGACGTCACCCTATACGTCATAACAATATTAATAATAATCGTCATCAATCAATCAATCAATCAATCGTAAGTGATGGAGAAATAGGCAGAGGAGGTAGATAGTTCTAAAGGGCCAGAAAAAGCAAACGCATATTTAGCAAAAGAGTGTTTGATACGAGTTAAGAAGTGAGAACAAGAAGACGATCGTAAACCGGCGCGTTTAGGTTCAATTAATATATCTGATAAGTACATAGGAAATAATTTAGATTGAGACTTTAGATTACAAATTTTAAAAATTATTCTATATTTTATAGGTAGCCAGTGCAAGAGAACAAGATATGGAGATATATGAGAAAAGAAAGGGGCACGAGTTAAAAGCTTTACTTAAAGGATAGATAAATAAGTAGATAAATAATTATGCTGTGCAATTTATAACATAATGCATCTATTTTCTGGCAAAAAGCGCTTCAGTTGCTTTCATTAGCGCTATATAAATTATTATTTTTTTTATATATAAATAACACAAATGCAGCCGGTAAAAGCTTAGCACGCCACGCGTGAGTTGTTTACATAGAATACACATTAAAGACCATTAAATTTGACTAATTAATATTCATGACCAATTTATTATTAAATATATTGTTTAAAAAATTTCATGAATAGTATTTTAAAACTGATGAAATTAACGTTAAAAATGTTATTTAATAAGTATAAAATGCCAAATATAATTAAGCCCATGATTAAAATACAGATTAAACTTAAATAAAAATATAAAATAGTTAGGCTGTGCAATTTCTACCATGAAAGAGCTTTAATATAAAAACGAAGTTTACCTTTTCCTATTTTCATTTTTTTGTTGCATTTCTGTTTCTCGAAGTTGTCATCTCGTTCAGAAGAGTTTATATACATATAAATACATTAAAATGGCCCTTTATCCCTCAGTTCATGGAGTGAGAATGCTTGACATAATATCCAAAATTATGACCACCGAAGGCGCAGTTAGTTGGGCGAAGGAGCATGGATTGATAGCCACCACGAAGACATGCCATTGTCTTACAGACATGAGGTTTACATGCTTTTCATGCTTAAACATTTTTTGTCCGTTATTTATTTTTCGTTATCAGTTTTATTTATTTTTCGTTATCATTTTACACTATTGCTTTGCTTGCTGTACAGTTTCCGCTTTTGTCAGATTCTGATTTTTAAAAGTATAATAAAAAAAGGTTTGCAGTGAGCACAAAAACGGCCGATGGTTACTTGTGGAGATGTAAAAACAGCAACTGCCGCTCCACTAAATCGATTAGGCACGGAAGTTTCTACAACCGTAGCCAAATGTCACTAACAAACTGTATTATGGTAAAATTTTTTCCATTGTCTATAATTTTCCATTGTCCATTATGCATATTTCATAACATTCATTTCAAATTTTATATAACAGGTTACATTCTTCTGGTCTATGAATGACATTAGCCAGGCTACGGTAGCCGCGCTCCTAGGTTTGGATGTCTCTAACACATTACCCGAATGGTTCAATTTACATCGGGGATTATGTGTGGACAGGGCTCGTGATAACCTTACACGAATAGGTGGTACTGGACACATTGTTCAGGTAGATGAGATTTGTATCTCATCTGCAAAAAGAGCAAGGAACCAACGTGCACGCTCAGTTAGGGCAAGCTGGATTTTAGGAGGCATCGATATGCAGACAAAAGATGCCTTTTTGGTGAAAGTGGAAAGGCGAGACACAGCCACATTGTTGCCGTTAATAGAGCAACATGTTCTGCCCGGTTGGTTTCATAAAGTTGAATGTTTTAAAATTCATTTTGGTAGGCTATGAAATATAGTTTTATTTTAATAATTTTAGGTACTACAGTTTTGTCGGATCAGTGGGCTGCTTATAACAGCCTCACATCCATTACTGGCCTAAACCACCCTACCGAGAATCACTTCATTACATTTCAGGCAGGAAAAGGAGTGCAGCCAAATGGAGTAGAGAATTTGTGGCGATGCTTTCAAAAAAAATTTAAAAGGATGAATGGTACGTGTGATGCTCACATATCATCATACATCGACGAATTTGTGTGGCTACGAACCATTGCAAATCGCAAAGAAAGGTTCCAGAAAGCTCTGGAACTTATGCGACATTATTACCCAGTTTAAAATTTTGTTCCACAATTAACAATTTCCATTATTCGATATTACTTCCGTTTTCAAATTATTTTGTAAATATAATGTGCCGATTAAATTACAAATCGTTTACATGTTTATAACATTTTTTCAAAATAAAAAATGATATTTCATAAAATATCATTTTTACGTAAAATGATGAAATTTAAAAAATTACAAATTGAAAAATTGAGGCGCTTCGGTTGGTCATCAATATTAATTAGAGGCAGAGTCAAATTTATGTGTCTCCAATATTCAATGTAAAATTGTAAATAGATTACGTGCTGAGGTTTTACCTATGCAGCTACTCAGCCAGCTAATCTCATAAAAAAACCGATAAACATTTAATTAAATTTTAGAAATTTATATTGAATCTGAAATTTAAAATAATTAACAAATGTTAATAAATGAATTATTAAAATAATTAATTAATTAAATAAAACTTTAAATATAAATTTCTTCAAACGAGCTAACTAACCAGAGCAACGTATGGGAAATCTCGGACAACCTGTCGTATTGTAACAAAGGCCTGATCCAAATTGCTCTGCCAAACATTCAGTATGCTCCCCACCTCAGCTGTTGAGTTTGATTCTGGGCTGGAGTTTATCTGCTTTTTTTTTGCTCTCGCCATTTAATGGAGGAATAATAACTAATTTGATGTTTTAATTAGGACTTAATTATTAAGTAAATCTAGTTTTTTAAAATGTATTATTTAGTAATAAAATGTGTTAGATGTTTAAAAAAATAATTAATTTTAACAATGTTAGAGTCAGTTAGTAGATGGCTGGAGGTGAGAGAGTGTTGAAGTTGAAGTGTTGTTGGTTGAGTCGAAAAAGCAAGTCTTCTTAACATCAAAATAATATTGTAGCGAATTGTTTTCGAAAATTACATCTCAAGAATAAATTTCGCGAACCAAACGTCAATCTGTTTTTTATTTTTATATATTTTTTATTTAAATTTAAAACGCCGGAAATATTAATGAAGCATAATGTTTTTTCGTATTTCGCGGCTAAAAGTGAAACGGAATTATGTTCTGCAGAAAGTAAGTTTACCAAAGAAACATTGTCAGCTAAAAATTATTTAGAATTCAATGGTATACGAACGATTGAATTAACTCAATGGTATACCATTGAGTTTTAAATTCAATGGTAAATCATTAATGATTCAATGACAATTGATACAAATAAATATGCGTGTGTATATATATATATATATATGTGTGTGTGTGTGTGTGTGTGTGTGTGTGTGTGTGTGTGTGTGTGTGTGTGTGTGTGTGTGTGTGTGTGTGGTTTTTGGTATAATTTACAAAGGATCTTAAAAATAGATAGCATTTAAATGCAAATAAATTGAAATTGGAACAAAATTACAACAATAATGCACGATGCATATTTAATAACGCATAGTCAAATAAAAACAACAACAAAATGGAAACTTCAAAATCTTATTACGTCATCCTCACTGAAATCTCTCCTAAAAAAACAAACACAAAGAAGGAAGTTTTTCAATTCATAACTAAACGGCAGCGAGACAAAAAAAATATAACTTGAAACATTTCTTACTTGTTAATAATTAAACGAAAAATTTGTAAAATGGCCCATCTACTTACAGTTAGCCACAAATTATACGATGATAACAAATGTAACAGCAACGACGACGACATTAACAACAGTAGAAACAACAAAAACGTCAAACACTGCAGCAACGCCAACAACAGCAGCAGCAGAAAATCTTCCAAACGCCGAAACGACAACCACAGCAACTGCGCAAAAAGGCAAAAGAAGAGTGACAAAATTGATGACGGTCAGAAAAATTCTTTCATCTGGTTCTTCGCCATGCACATCAGCATTTTGGTCCTCATGGTCCTGATTGACATTGCCAAGTATTTCGTGTTCTTCCTACTGAAGATGGACAGTGTGAATTTGGATGTGAAAATTTCTATAGTGCAGAATATCTTCCTCTGTGTTGCACTGGCTCTCGTTTCCGCCAAGTACCTAGAAACGAATCAGGTCATCCTCTGCTCCATCATCATCCATCTACTTCCGTTTGCCTTCTTTCGCCCGGAAGTCATTGATCAGGATTGGCCGGCCTCATTGGTGGCTTCTGAATTGGGATTGTGGGCGTTCCAACTGAGTAAGATGTTCCTCGCCAAGATTATAAGAAATGCTAGTGATTACTGATTGCTTCATTGATTGATAGGTTGTCTGGTTGGTTAGCTGGATGGTTAGCTGGTTGGTTTGCTAGTTGATTGGCTGGCTGGTTGGTTGGTTGTCTAGTTTCACAGTTCACTGAAGATGTTGTCAAATAATTAGTTAGATGTTGAAAAAAGATTATGTGACTAACGATGGCTGGTTGATAGACTGTACAATATTTTTACATTTTTTAAATAAATAAAAAAACAATGGCATATTTTAAATTTAAAACCTTATAACGGTTGCATTTATTGGAGTTTTATTTACAACAATCTCATTATTTTAAAGCGTTATTAAGTTTGGAATAGTTAAAAAATTGTTAATCTTAATGATACGTTGACAATTTGTAACAGCTAAATTTTAGAAAATCTAAAAAAATTAATGAAAAGAAATTCGTTTAATTTCAAAACCTGATTTAGAACATATTTAAAATTTTAGACAAAATTGCATCCACTCATTCATTCGTTCGTTCGTTTGTTCGTTCGTTCGTTTGTTCGTTCGTTCGTTTGTTCGTTCGTTCATTCATTAATTCATCCATCCATTTCTCCATTCATTTAACTTTCCATCTACCTAAAAATATATTTTAACTATCCATCTATCATTCATTCATTTAGTCTATTCATCGTTTCATCAATCCATCCAGTCTAAAATACAACATTTGTATGTGTGTGTGTTGTGTGTGTGTGTGTGGTGTGTGTTGTGTGTGTGTGTTGTGTGTTATATACAAAAGCAGCAAAGTTTCGCAAAAAGAAATTAAAAAGCAAAAGTGAATAACTTTACAAAAAAAACCATTGTATGGGATGAAAACTACACAAGAAACAATTCAACACTAGTGTTTCTGTTCATCATCATCGTCGTCGTCATCATACATACATACATACATACATACATACATACATACATACATACATACATACATACATACATACATACATACATACATACATACATACATACATACATACATACATACATACATACATACATACATACATACATCTTCCTGTTATATAATCTTAATACACTATACCTCGTCCTAAAAAATAAATGCTCTCTTAATTGATTAAACATTTTATTTTAGTTTATAATAAAAATAATTTCACTTTTAAAAATTGTAATAGTAAAATTAATTTTATTATTAATAAAACAATTTAATTTTCTCATATGTGTATGCTTCTGTTAAAATTTTCATATAAATACGCACACACACACACACACACACACACACACACACACACACACACACACACACACACACACACATAAAAACACACACACACATTTAACTGCAAATCACATTGGGTTTTGTTTTTAAGAACTCATTAACTGATTGATGATAAAAATATTATTGAGGTAAGCATAAAAATAATAATAACTACTATCATTATTGCTGTTGTTATTATTTTTATAATAAAATCGTCATCATCATCATTATTATTATTATTATTATCATTATTATTATTATTATTATTATTATTATTATTATTATCATTATTATTATTATTATTATTATTATTATTATTATTATTATTATCATTATTATTATTATTATTATTATTATCATTATCATTATTATTATTATTATTATTATTATTATTATTATTATTATTATTATTATTATTATCCTTATTATTATTGCATTCGAAACGTCGTCATCATCATCATCATCAATTATATCGCTCCAGACAGTTTTCTTCATCTTATTATTATTATAACTACTGTTATTATTATTTGTTGTTTTTATTATTATTATTATTATTGTTTTCCCGTTTTTCAAGTCGGATAAAAAGTTTATAATAAAAAACACCAACTTCGTTATCACCTTCACACTTGTATTGTTGTTGTTGTTGTTGTTGTTGTTGTTGTTGTTGTTGTTGTTGTTGTTGTTGTTGTTGTTGTTAGCTTTTTCTGCTACTCTGTTTTACTATCACCAGCATCCTCGTCGTCATCGTCGTCGTCACCATCATCTTCATCTTCAATCATCTCCACTTTCATCGCCATTCTCATCACTACAACAGCTGTATTACATCGTTTTTAATCAACAACTATTGAAAAATCACCGCGAGTTCTTTTTATCTCCATTTACAACATAGGAGGGACGGTTTTGCGTGATTAGATTATATTTGTTTATTTATTCACCGAATCAGTTACTCAACAACATATTTTTTTCATAATAAATATTTTTAAAGTTAACAACTACAGAACAGGTTGAACTGACTATAGCAACTACACTTTTTAATGACAACAAAACATCATCAACATCATTAACTTATACATCAGCAAACAACTATAACATCAACGTAGACAACTATACAAATATATGAACAACAGCATAAAAACAACCTAAACGATTTGAAAATGAATCCACACCAACCAAATTATTTGCCACATCAACAACAACAACCCATATTTTTGGCTCCACAGCATGATCAACAATTACTACAACATCAACTTTCCCATCAGCAACAGCTGCAAGAACAACAACTTCAACAGCTTCAGCAACAGCTTCAACAGCAACAACTGCAGCAGCTTCAACAGCAGCAACAATTTCAACTACAACAACAACAAAAGCAGTTGCAGCTATTAGTAAACGATAGCGAACAAAATAACATTCAAATGCCTGCTCACACGCATGTAACGCCATCGCCTTTAAGCAAGTCCCACCACAGACACAGTCACCATCGCCACGAGCCACCGCACCAACCACAACAGCCACGACATTTGGAAGAGTTTCATCCACAAACACATTTAGAACTTCAAATGATCCAGCCGGAACAACAGTCATCTCAACAGCAGCAACAACAGCAACTACTTCAGCAGCAGGAACACTTGCAACATCATCCCCACCAATCAAGATCCGTGCGTGGAAAGTCACCGGTTGTTTTCAAACAACAGCAGATTCAAGAACAACAACAACAACAACAACCGCAACTACATAATTATCAACACCCTCAACAAAATGAACAACGAAATGCTTACCCAGACGAACAAAATGAACCGCCTCAACAACAACTGCAACATAAAAATGTTGAACAACATCAACAACAACATCAGCTGCAGCAGCAGCAACAATCTACTCAAGAGCAACAACAAAATTTAGAAAGTGACCACGACAAAGTAGAAGTCATTGTAGACGCGAGCATAGAACCAGAAGCCATCGCCGGTCAACACCAGCTGCAGCAGCAGCAACAGCAACAACACAACAAAAGTATCAAACAACACGCACCTACCCTGACGACAGAATCATTGCCACAAAACCAACAAATCGTCTCACCGTTACTTCAGCCACTCCTCAGGAAACCAACGAAAAAACTCCGCAGAGACAAAGCGCACGAGTTACTGCGGAAAAGAATTTTGGTAGGAACCCTCGTTGCCATGATGGTCGCGACGATTCTGTGGCTTGTGGCCTTTAGTATTAACTACTGGGCTAGTTGGGAATTCCCAGACGGCGTCATGTCGGCCAATAAGAATGTGATTCGTGGACAGCACGCTGGCCTGTGGAAGATGTGCCGGGAGGAAGTAGTTCCTTCAACCAATGAAAAACGTTGGTGCAATTATGATGCGTTGCCATTGGTTGATTTGAATTTTGAAATGAATAAAAATTGGTATATGATTTTTGAATAAAAACCTGTTAGAATCAAAATATTTCTTTTATTTCTTTTTTATCTCAGATTTTGTAATTTAATGTAAATTATTCGGACCATTTTCATTCACGTAACGTTCAACAACAGCAAGTTTCAAATATGAAATAACTAAAAATATATCGACAAAACCGTCATCATCATCATCGTTTTAGATGATATAGTTGATTGATCTGATAACCAAATTCAACATCATCTCGCCATCATCAACATCACCATTCGCTGCGAAACAACTGATCAAAATAAACAAAATGCTCATTTCCAAGACACCTGTATATGCAATTAAGGCACGAATGCTAATACAAAATGCCTACTAATACAAATGGCTATATCTTACACCGTATATACAAAAATCTTCACAAAAAATATGCATATACACGAAAATTGTATGTAAAAAACCATTCCCAGTCAATATATTGAGAAATTGAGAGAGAAAGAGAGAGAGGGAGAAAGAAAGAAAGTGAGAGAGAGAGAGAGAGAGAGAAGCAATAAGTACTGGAAATCTATTAATTCTTCATAAAATTCGAACCAAAATCAAAGCAAGTTTGAAACTTTCTTTCGTAAAATAAAAAATTTAATTAGTTCGCGGAACAGCACTGGAATTGGTTAGGGTTAGACTTTCGCCTAGGAACAGAACCTAGTTTTTTTTATTGCAACATTCTTTGCGCTTTTGTACTCTTTCCATAAACGCGAACAGAAGATGTGTGAAGTTTTGTGTATGTTTGTATTTATGTGTGTGTCTGTGTGTGTGTGTGTGTATGTGTGTGTGTGTTGTGTATATGACTTGTTAGTTTGCTTGCAGGCATGCTTATAACATTAGCTCTAATGCTCAGTTGCTTAACTTATTAGCTCTTCGTCATCTTCATTCAGGAGGGGTAATCCGTGAAAGAAAAAATTGAAATAAACTCTGAAAAAGTTTGTTTGAAATAAATTTTCAGAACCACTTCAACTTTAAAAACAATAAAGAAGCCATGTATTCAGATCAGGTCGGATCTGATGTTTACATTACACGTTACCATCAAACACTGGAGATATAAATTGAGAGTGTTGCTTACCATCTAGCATTCTCGCCATCTTACGAGCGTTCTTATCTGCTCGCCAAGCTGTTTACACTACACAAAAAACTATTTTTTTATTCTACAAAATTTCAATTCTTTGCCATTATTATTTTTTATTGCTTCGATATTTTTTATCGTGAAGATTCTGTGGAAGATAAAATTTCATAAAAGTCGATATTTCAAACTTTGATGTAATTATGTATGTTAAGAACAATTAACGTCTTTTAGTTTAATTAAAATTGCTATTCCTTAATTAATAAAGATTGTTTGCCAATCTTATCAAAATATGAATAACCATAGATATGGAATTAACAGAGGAATGGCCAGCAGTGGTGCATTGCAAAATCACAAGGGGCACATGAAGTCCTTGAAGGAATGGAAAAAAAGTTCAATTTGAAACCAATCGTTTGAGGAGTGCCCGCTGAGAAATATATAATTGTTAAGACCAACCAAACACTCAAAGAAGGCCCGAGTTAAAATTAGAAACTTGAAATCGCTATCTCGAAGAGATTAACTCCGTTTTCGTAATAAAAATATTTATTAGCAGTTACTATAATAATTAACTATAATATTTGATTTACAATATTAAAATTAATTAGAATTTAATAACAATAATAATTATACTCGTATATCAGTTAATAATAACTGATATTGAGTTACTAGAAAATTCTGGGAAAATTATTTTTGTGGAGAAATATAAGGTGAATGTTCATTTTGACTATTGTCTGTAATTATTTGCGTGTATGTACGTGTGTGTGCGCGTGTGTGTGCGCTTGTGTGCGTGTGTTTGTGTGAGAATTAATTAAAAGCTCATATTTGATAGGTAGACTACTTTGTAATAACATCTTGGAGTTGTTCGTCTGTTCGCTTGTTTGTTTGTTCGTTCGCTTGTCTTTCTGTCTATTTGTTCATTTGTGTGTCGCTTTGTCTGCCTATGTGCCTTTCAGTCTGTCTGTATGTCTCTACGTATGTCTTTGAATATTTTAAGAGGTGTGTATGAGCATTTTGCTAGCATATTTGAAAAACTTTTTAAACGCTTTGTATAAATATTTTTAAGTACTTAGTGTATTTGTTTGCAAATGTTTTAGCTATTTTGCATTCAAGATGTATGTTAATGATGTTTGCATAATGTAAAAAAACTTAGTTTGTTTGTATGTTTGCATGCATGTATGTATGCATAATTTTTTAAATTGTTTAATGCCTGCGTGGATGTGTGCGTGTACGTAACACACACACACACACATACACACTCATTCATACAAACACACATACACACACACATACATTGGAGGAAAGATGATGTTTGTTTTGTTTGCCATCGCATTACTGCATTTTTTCCAAGAAAAACAACCAGTTGAATAACTTAGCGCACATAATAACAATAATCATAATAATATAATAATAATAATAATAGCATAATAAATAGAAAATATAGAAATTTATTTTTGTTGATGTAATTTTTTTAAGAATATATAAATTAAAAAAGCAATCAATTCGTTATTAATTAACCTAAAAGTATTATTATCGTAATTATTATTACTATTTTTTATTGTTATTTTTATTATTGTTATTATTATTATTTTATTATTATTACGATTTCGCCATTTCTTATTAATGTTCCTTGAAGCTATATTGGTATCGCAAAGTTAAGATAAAATAAACACTATTGTAAAATATTTTTTGTATTCTTGTTTTTATAGCATAGTATGTATTACTACTACTACTACTGCTTGTATTACTACTACTACTACTACTACTGCTACTACTACTACTGCTACAGCTACTACTACTGCTACTACTACTACTGCTGCTACTACTGCTACAGCTGCTACTACTGCTACTACTACTATACTACTACTATTACTGCTACTACTAGTACTACTACTGCTGCTACTACTATTACTGCTGCTACTACTATTACTGCTGCTACTACTGCTACTGCAGCTGCTTCTACTACAACTACAGCTCTTTCTACTCATCCTACACCTTCTACTATTGTTATTGTTATTACCTGTGCCGACTATTAGTGTTACTGCTACTACTTCTGCTGCTACTACTGCTGCTGCTACTACTTCTGCAGCTACTACTTCTGCTGCTGCTACCACAACTACTCTGGCGTTACTATTGTTATTGTTATTACCTGTGCCGACTATTAGTGTTACTGCTACTACTTCTGCTGCTACTACTGCTGCTGCTACTACTTCTGCAGCTACTACTTCTGCTGCTGCTACCACAACTACTCTGGCGTTGTCATCATTCTTCTCCAGATCATATCATTATCACAAGAGTTATCATCATTAATGTCATCGTCATTCTTATGGTTATCGCTATCAGTAAATTGGTATCATCAACAAAGTCGTCATTACCGATCCCTTTTGCTAGTTATATTTATATAATAGTAATAATAATAATAATAATATTAAAAATAAAAACAAGGACAATATCAATAATAATAATAATAAGAAGAAGAAGAAATACAATAATAGTAAGACATACAAGCAACTCAAATGTTCCGTTGTTTTTTATTCTTGATACATTCCATGATTTATGCTTCAACATGTTGCATAGTTTGTTGCATAATATGGTATGTATGTATGTGTGTGTGTGTGTGTGTGCGTGTGTGTAAATGTGTGTGTATTTGTGTTTGTAGATAGGTGTGTGTGTGTGTGTGTGTGTTTGCGAGTGTGTGTATGTGTGTGTGTTTTTGTGTGTAAAGTGTTTATAGCAAGAACATATCAATCTTTAATAATTTTCCTGATGTATATTCATTGGCAATTGTTTTCATCGAGTATTGCCTTGCAATATTTTATCCAGTCGTCATCACCATCTTCACCATTATCTCTTTCTTCTTTTTCTTAACCATAATCATCATCACCATAAAAACCATCTTCACCACCACCACCATCTTCATCATCACCATCTTCATCATCATCACCATCATCAGCAGCAGCATCATCATCATCATCACCATTATCATCATCATCACCATTATCATCATCATCGACATCATCATCAGCATCATCATCGTCATCATCTTCTTCATCGTCATCGTCATCGTCATCATCATCATGACAGTTTCTTCTTGCATATTCATGAAGCAATTTCCGACGTCTGATGAACTGATAAGAAACCAGAAGCTATACGATGCAACCGTCATAAGTTAGTTGTTGTTCATTTGGAAGTTGTTGTTGTTGCTTTGTTGTTGTTGCTACGGCTGCTGCTTTTGTTGTTGTTTCTGATATTTTTTCATTTCATTCATTCACTCAGTCACTCACTCATTCATTCATTCAGTCACTCAATCATTCATTTATTCATTCATTTTTCTTCTTCATTATCATCTCTTATGCAGTAAGCAGAATTTTTACTACAATAGAACCTTCACGTGAGTGTGTCTGAATCAACACGTGTGATAAGCTGGGGTCTGCTTGAGTTTGAACTCGCTCACTGCAACACTCCACCGGACATTTTTAACCAAATCAACTGACCAGTCAATCATCCAATCAACCAACCAACCAATCAATCAACCAACCAACTAACCAACCAATCAATCAACCAACCAACCAACAAACCAACCAACCAACCAACTAACCAACCAACCAACCCACCAACCAACCAACCAATCAAACAATCAACCATCCAACCAAACAATCAACCAAACAAACAAACAACCAACCAACCAACCAACCAATCAATCAACTAACCAGCTAACCAAACAATCAATCAACCAAACAGACTACAGACGGTCGTGCACCGCCATCGGTGTGATCGGTGTGTTAGTGATGGTATTATCGATCATCTCTACCTACTACTCCACCATAGAACCGAGATACATTTATAAGAGATTGGCCGGTTCTTTGCTACTTGGAAGTGGTCCGTTTTTGAAAAACTCATTCGTTTTGGCTCAACTTTACGTTTCGATTTTTAATCCTCCATTCATTCCTCATTAATTAAATTAACACACTCACACACTCACTCACTCACACACTCACTCACTTACTCACTCACTCACTCATTCATTCATTCCCTCACTCATTCATTCATTCATTCATCCACCAATCTTACCATCCAAACAGCGGCCTGCATCTTAGTATGTGTAGAGATAATCCAGGGCTCGCTGGAGTACGAGCGCAAGTACCTCCCTCACATGTACCCACCTAAATCCAAGCACAGGTTCGGCTTCTGCTTTGGAGTCGCCTGGTTCCTCATCATCTGTTTCCTGGTCTTCAGCCTCATCCTATTCTTCTTCTCCCGCAAGCAGAAGGATAAGTTGGTTGATGATAGGCCGGTTATCATTGGCCGGATTTGAAAGGGTGAGGTTGTTTTACCTTTAAGAGAGCTTGGTAGGGTTTTTAAATTCGGGCTCTGAAGTTTGATACAAATCGAAGTTTATTTTATTCTGTAACTTGATGAAATTTATTGAATGTTTAATTTATTTATATAATAAACACAGCTAAAATAATCAATTTAATTCAATTTTCATCTATCTATCCTTTTAACTTTTATTTTGCATTGTTCACACAGCAAAGCTATATATCTTAACCTCTCTTTTTTTTCAAGTTTTAATAGCGTGAATCTTTCTACATTTGTTTGCATAAATGTACGTGTGTATGAGCATGCGTGTGTGTATGTGTGAATGTATATGTGGATGTGTGTATGCGTGTGTGTGGATGTGTGTGTGTATGCGCGTGTGTGTGTGGATGTGTGTGCGAGCGTGTTTTTACGCTATTTTCCATGAAGAGTGTCTCATTTCAAGAGAAACAAATCAACACCCAAATTTCTCTCTCGCCATATTTATATTCTCATCACGTATAATTGTTCGACATACATCATACGTATGTCATACATACATGTACATTACACACACACGCTAACAAAACACACTTATATATATATATATATATATATATACATATATATACATACAAACAAACAAACACACTTACATAAATATACATATTTTAACGGTCTTTATGTGATCTCAAGATTAATTTTCTCGAATTTTTTTTCTTTCTTTTTCATTTCGTTTGCAGTGTAAAATATAAATAAATAGATGGATGAGTAAACAAATGAATGAATGAATGCGTGAATGAATGAATGAATGAATGAATGAATGAATGAATGAATGAATGAATGAATGAATGAATGAATGAATGAACATAAAAAGCATTTTTTCAATAAAAATTTTATTTAAAAATCTCTCTTATCAAATAAAACACATAAAGAGACAATTTAGCGTTCTAGTTATGGGAAGAAAAAAAAACAAAAACATAAAAAAAAAACATGGAAATATACACCAAGCATTGATGAAAAAGAGAAAAATACTTATTTATTAACATAATAATTAAGAATTAATTAAAAATAAATAAATGAACAAAAGCATAAAACACATACACGCATAAATAAAGGATTGTCTCTAGGATTGTCAAATGCTAACGGTATTAATAAACTAACGACGGAAAATCTACACACGCACGCACACACACAAAACATACACACACAAATACATACACGCACACACAAACAAACAAAGAAACACACGTACGGCAAAAAACATCTTATTCATCACATGTAAAATCACCAGCCGCATATGGCCATTCCATAGATGCAAATAAACAGAAATGAATTATTTGACGCCAATGGTTAGCCACTTCGTAAACCATACAATGGATAGAATTATATACATAGGATACAACCATAAAATGGGATACAACAGGATACAAATGAGATACAGTAAGATACAAATGGGATACAGCAGGATACAAATGGGATACAGCAGGATACAAATGGGATACAGTAAGATACAAATGGGATACAGCAGGATACAAATGGGATACAGCAGGATACAAATGGGATACAGTAAGATACAAATAGGATACAGCAGTATACAAATGGGATACAGCAGGATACAAATGGGTTACAGTAAGATACAAATGGAATACAGCAGGATACAAATGGGATACAGCAGGATACAAATGGGATACAGTAAGATGCAAATGGGATACAGTAAGATACAAAATATCCAATATCTAAAATCCAGTTAAACAAACTCTCAATCATCTAACATGAAACTTATTAAAATTTCTTCAATGAATATTCCTTACTACCAATAATAATAATAACAATAGCTGATTAATTATCATAAAATGAAAACGGTACCATAGTCCACAAGATAGTCAAATAATAATAATTAGCATATGTTAATTAGCGTAATTAACATAAATATAATTAAATAATTAAATCAAATTGAAAAGTTCTAATAGTTAGAATTGCATAAGTTTAGCACTATATACATATTTTATGTATATATATATATATATAATATATATATATATATTTATTTATTTATTTATATTTATATATATATTTATTTATATTTATATATATATATATATATGTATGGGTTACCTGACAATAATACAATATAATATGGCAACGACCGTTTGTTTACTTCGTACTGCATTGTTTACTTCGTACTGCATTGTGTTTAAGAGAACGTTCTTCATATTTTTATAACAATCACACACACAGTCACACATACACACACACACAAACACACAGTCACACACACACACACACACACACACACATACACAAACAGACACAAAAACACACACAAACCTAATATAAAATCACACATGCATAGATGCATGTACACATATTTACATACAAACAAACATATACTTACACATACACACGCAAACTTACACATACTTACAACACACACACACATACACACACACACACACAAATATCAAAACAAATATAATTTTAGTTATAATTATTAATACGAAAAATGGAAATACCAAATTATTATTTAAAAAAAACATCGGTAAATAATATTTTTATTTCCAAGGCACATGCAATATGTGATAGAAATAATGTTATTAATAATAATTTAATAATAATTAATAAAAACAATAATAAATCAAAAAATAATAACAATAATTCAAGTCATATTCAAAATGACATAAAAACCAACTTTAGCATAGTAATGTTAAAGTTAAAATAACATTTAATCACTGTTTTTTGTAGTTAGTTAACAACAGGGACAATTATTATTCATTCATTCATTCATTCATTCATTCATTCATTCATTCATTCATTCATTCATTCGTTTAAATATATATATTTATTTGCTACTACATTAATTTCTGAACACAAGTCTAAGAAATGAATGAATGAATCAATCAATCATTGAATTAATGGATGAATGAATGAATGACAAGGTGAATGAGCAAAAAAATTATCAGTAGTAATTTAAAGATGAAAAAATAAATGAATGAATTGGTAAAAAAAAACAATCACTGAGTCATGCATATACACACAGAAGATGCCAGATTAATACACAAAGACGAAAATGATGAATGAATGAATGAAAGAATGAATGAATAAAAGAATTGCTTTTGTGTTAATTAATTTGTGTTAATTAATTAATTAAATAATCAATTAGTCACATTTATTGTGACCTAGCAACTTAAAGCTCATAAATTGCAAATATATATGGCTATATATAGGTTATCATCATCATCATCATTATTAACCATCAACTTAACATCGTGTCACATTATCATCAGCCTCTTCTTGACATGATACTCCCTGATTTCATCATCATCTTCATCATTCCTCAGTTACTTCGATTACTCAGTTCTTTCCTTATCACTGAAAAATAATTAAAAATGAATTATTATTACCATTTAATGTTACTGATTACACGGTATTATTTGTATATAGGAGACAGTATTTATTTCGTTTACCTCTTCATTCTAGTTTACAATTAATAAACAAGTTATTATGCTACCTTTGCACGGTTAAGATACCGCGGCCATAAAATTTTCATTGGGGAGGGCATACTTTCAATGATTACGGTGTAATTAATCATTACACCGTAATCATTAGCAAAAAATCAGAATCTCACTCTCTCTCTCTCTCTCTCTCTCTCTCTCTCTCTCTCTCTCTCATACACACACAAACACGCGTACTTATACACACCACACAATTGCACACACAAATACACACAATTCAATTTGAAAATTCTAAAAAGAAATCTAAAAATTTTTGTAAAAACCCCACCCACCTTCGATGATTTCATCTTTGATCTTGCTTAGCTCAGCCCTCATCTCGCTCATCATTTGCCGCTTGAATGACTCCAAGTCGTTTGATTGGATGTTGGGAGACGACGACGAATAGGATGAGGAGGTAACCTGATCCCTGCTTTGCGATTGGTCAAAAATTAACCAATTAACATAATTTTAAAATATTTTTAATTTTTACTAAAAGAATATTGGCTATGATCACTATTACCATTATTATCATTATTATTATTATAATTATTATTATTTCAATAATAATAAAAATAATTATAACAAAAAAAATAATTAAATGAGCCAATTATAGCTGAAGCAGACCTAGAGCTTGAATTGTCATTGACATTAAGTTGTGACGTCGACGACGACAGTGGAATGGATGGAGGGTGAGATGGAGGAATGAAAGAGGGGGTGGATTTCTTCTCGTGGACGGCCCAGGGAGGGGGTGCCTTCGACTTGCTCGGAGGAGGGTTGGATGGAGTGTTTATGGTAGTTATCGATGGTGTTGATGTCGTTGAGTCTGAATCCTGGCCAAAAACAAAAAAAAAAAAATAATGAATAACAAATTACATACCAAATGACCAGACAACCAATCAATCAACTGACCGACCAAACAGCAGACATACCCCTGCAGCTTCGGCCTTGGCCTTCCTCATCTGGATCTTCCTCGCCATCTCTGACATCATGTCGACGGCTCCGCCCCCACCAATGGATCGGGTGCTCTGATTGGTCGGTGCAGATGAGGAGGAGGAAGCAGCTGTTTGTGATGGGCCATCATCCTTTGGCTGTTTTGGAAGAGTAATTAAGCTTATAAAGATAACAATTAAATGTCTACTGATAATAAGAGCAAGAAAAATTATAATTATTACCATAATAATAATAATTATTATTATTATTATTTTTATTATCTTTAATATTATTCCTCTGAGAA